GTGTAAAACACCCAGAAATGTCACGGAAATTTACATGATCTACATTTTGTCCGGATACTTTTGGCAGGTGAGTGTATTTGGCCATAGCACTTCTATATCAAGTTTCTAATAAATAATAATGATATTAATATTAACATCAATCAGTGTGTATACATATATACAAGCCTTAAATTTAGGCAATAAAATGATCAAACAATTCCGATTTTCTTTTGTAAGTGGGTTTATTCTTAATACTATCTATAGACCAACGAATTTCTGTAGAGGAGATGTAGGAGTTGGCAGAACAGGATCAATTGATACAGGTTAGATGGTAAAGTTGAAGAATTACCATCATCAGAGTAATAGTAAGCTTTTAACAGTTCAATTTCTTCATAAATGTTTTTGTTTCATTATCATTGAATCATCATTCACTACTACCACCCACCACCAGAATTTTTTTCGATACTACAACTATTCATACTATTATCATTATTATTGCCATCATTGTCACCACCAATACTGTTATTAAAAGTGTTACCACTGAATTGATTTGCTAGTTTTAAATATTTTCAGATCCTAATTAATTGTACTTTACACTTTCAATCATGTTATATAGGACATTTGTTTCCATTTTGAAGAGGCCTGTCTTCAACAGTTTTCGGTGTCTCTTTTCTGAAGCTCAATGTAAAGAGAGGAATGCTTTATTAACTGAAGGTACCTTTCATTTTACCTTGTAAATCCAAGGTGATAAAGGTATATAAATAAAAGGACATAAATGGTGTTTCACATAATAATAATATTCGTCGTGTTATTGATTTCCCAAAATTGGCAGAATTCCTTAATTTTTTTATTCAATAAAAAATAAAATTAACTTGTTAAATCAGGAAATTTTATTTCAAAAATTTTTTTTTTTTGAAAAAGCAATACTCTAAAGTAGATTTAACAACACAAGTTATATAGATATATATTGAACATAAAACAATAAACAAAAATGCAAGCTTCTAACTTTAACGAATATAACAATAGTAACAACAACAACAACAATGATGACGACGACGACAACAACAATGTTGATTTATCAATGAATTTTACCTCTGTTAGAAAAGCAAGACCAATTTCAATATTTATTCATCCTCAAGAAAGTTTATCAAAAAATTCAATAGAAGCATCGTCACCATTAAGCGATCTACACGAAGATTTATCCATGATCTTGAATAATGGATTTGCTACTACTATGAGTTCTAGTAATGCCACAACTGCTAGTACAACAAATTATGCTACTGATACTACATCTACAGCAAATACAATTGCAACTTCAAATAATATAACCTCAACTCCTCATATTTTGGAGAACGTAATAACGCCAGCTTCAGAGATTGATGTTGCCTCTTTGAACTCTGTCAAGACTATCGAAACAAATCAAACGTTTGAAAGTTCGTCATCGTTGTCGTCGTCGTCGTCGGATAATATTAACAAATCAAATGGATCAAATGGACCACTGAGTGGATCGAATAACGGATCATTTGAGATGATCAAAACGCTTTGTGAATTAGATGTAGGCGATATATATCTTATCCTCAAATCTTCTCTCTATAATAATTCTCTCCGTGCGTGTATATGTGTATTAATATAATAATTTCATAATAATTTCATAATAATAATAACAATAATAATAACAATAATAATAAATAAAAAAATTAAAAAAGGGTGGATTGGGTGCAGCTTTAGAACGAGTTAAACAAGATGCGATATCAGCAAAAGCATGTATATTATAATAATTATTTCATTTATCAAATTTTTTGATATTTAGATTTACATATAATCTTGATAATAATAATATTGTTGTTGTTTGTTATTAGATGTTTGTGGAATTCTTGGAAAAAAGAGCCGCCATCGAAGAAAGTTATGGACGCGAGCTAATTAAATTGGCGAAAAATACTCAAGATAAATATTTGAGTAAAAGTGATACAAAGAAAGGGTAAATTTTTTTTATGAGCTTGCTTTATTTATTAATATTAATATTACCATGATTATTATTGTTAACTTCGTTGTTATTATTATTGTCATCATGTAGTTCATATGGTGATTGTTGGATTGATATGATGAAATTGCATGAATCAGTTGGAGAAAACAGAATTAGATTTGCTGCGACAATTCAAGAGATTTCTGATGAAGCTTTAACATTATATAAAGATACTGACAAGAGCAGAAAAAATGTATAAATAATAATACTCCAATTACCAAAAGGCCTATTATTAGTCTAATTTATAGCGTATTTACTTACTAATAGATTTATTATTTCTAATGATAACAATAGCTCTATGATTCTGGTCAGAAACATGTAAAATCAATCCAAGAAGCGGAACGATCTTTAGAAAAGGTATCCTTTTAATTAGATATGATCGACATAGTTGAATAAATGATTAAAACATGTATTGATTATAATTTTAGGCCAGGGGTAAATATGAATCAAATAGTGAAGATTGGGAACGTTTAATATTACTGAAAAATGGCGATACTCTGCCTCCTAGTATGAAATCGAAAACTTTAAAAACTATATTTTCAAAACAACCAAAGTCTCCAACACAAGTAAATTTCATTATTAATTTACGAACAAACAATAATTAATGATGCCGATAATAACATTTCTTAAAAAAAATTTAGTATTCAAAAATGGAGGAAGATGCT